CAATCCATGTTTTGAAATTACTAAGTCTGAATGGAAGAATTAAAATTCTGGAGATGGCAGTTTTTAATTCCAAGATATTACTGATCCATTCATCCTAGGAGCATAGATTTGTTAATATAAATGTATCATGTTCTATCAATAAATTAATCTATTTCTGAGTTAGATTTCAGGAAATACTTATTTCAGGACTGGTGCCATGGCTATATACATGCAGTGTATTTTTGTGTTTGTGTCTTTTCAACTAAAATCATACTAATGACTAACTAATTTTCACATAATCAATAGACTTATCTATTGCTCTGTGACCTAGGCCAGTGCTTTCATTGAGACTCGTCTCAATACACCCTAACACTGACATATGACAACATAAAAAATTCAAATTAGTTATACGCCTACTACTTGTGTCAAACAACTTATGCTTTCTTCATTTGCTGAAAGGATAAGTTTGAGAAATAAAAAACGTGTGTGCTTTTAAGGGTCATACATTTACATAGTCATAATAAATATGAAAGTGATCCCTAAAAAATAAACAATAAAAAAACAGTGCCTTTTGACTCTCTAGTTTTGAAAACAATGAACTTACTCTTTGACTGACAGGCTGGATTTTACTTTTTCTCTTCACATTTGGAGATCTAAGCCTGGTGGGTTTATCCATCATAAACTAAAGTGAAAATATATCCATTCATTGAAGTCGAAACGACCACAGGTAAATCATACTTCCCCAACTCGACTCACAACACGACTAAATTTTAAACTTCTTTACCCTCTATTCGTGTACACTCAGTCTCGATTATTCTGTCAATTTTCTCTTCTATCATAAAAGTCTGTTTGAAATAGTACTGGTTAATCACGGCTATTATACGAAGCCGTTATCTATTTGTATCGAGCGTTATGATTGGACAATATGATTGTCATATACCACAGTGGGGAAATGGAATATGAGTGATATTGCCTAATAGATATATAAAACGTTAATCATCAATGAATGAGTGTACAATTGAATGTTATTTTCTTAATTATGTCTATGATTAATTAATAACGTTGTTTAAATTTCAATCTCTTGATAGATACACATTGGCCTCTTGTTCTGGTCTATCACGAGCTAAACTGGGGATGAAGTGGTTTTTGAGGAACGATCAAACCAATGCGCAGATCTGCTCAGCCGCGTCGCCAGGAATGAATTGGTGCTGGTGCTCAGATTTTATACTAAGAAAATTTGAAGAATTGAAGGCCCAGAGAACTCATTTCTAACAATTTTGTGGTGCCAAAAACGTATCAAAATCTATATCTTTTTGATTTTGTACAAGGCGCTGTAAATGAATTAATCTCTGAACTACCCCCACGGACTCAACCCTAATGACTGGGCTGGATCTGCTTTCAACTGCTTTTGAGGAATTTTGAAATTATTTCGCATAGGTCTGGACATCTCCATATATAAGGAAATGACGTTCTCTTCTTCATCCACACTGGCCAGTGAACAGCTGTGGCCTGAGGAAGTAATATTGACGGGGAAATATTAGGAATGAGTAAATTTCGAAACATTTCACAAATCATATGTACAAAAATTTGCTCATATTCAGTTTAATAGATCGGAAGATATATCTGAATGTCGCCTATATCAGTATATATACCTTGATTGCGGACTCTATTCAAAGATTTGCCATCCAAAAAAGCCAGTTTAGGGTCATTGTTACTGATGGTGGATTTGATGGGTCTATTTATAGCGATTTTGTCCTCTAGATAGAGCATATAAGAAACAGAGCAGAAAGTGTCAAAAGAAAAAAGAAAATGATTTTTAACGAAAAGAGGATGAATTTGAAGATGAAACCGATTTTAATTACTTATTAATTTTAACGGCTGTCTTAATCGTATTCTTGTTGATGCTGAGAACCATTTCCATAGATATAATACTGTTACTATACCATGCATATTGAATGTCCATTACTTTTCACGTATCATTACGGACATTGAAGTTCTATAAATGCAATAAAATCCTCTGGTTGAAAGAGATGTAAAGAGTTATCTCCCATTAGTCTTCATGATGAAAGATAGATTCTCAAGTTTCACGCAATTTATTTTGTCACCGGAGTTTGAAGGACGAGGAATCCAGAAATATTTGACCAAGATACTAAAAACAATAAAATCCTACTTTATTCTTTGATAAAAGACTATTGTCACTGCTTTTAAGAATATCGTCTGCTTGCTATTATAATTGCCTAACTCATTATTTTTTTGCCCACGTCATTACCCATAGCTCAAAGTATATACTACAAAATTGCTCAAGTCAATGAATGATATGAGTTAGGCAATTATCGTTGCTAGCTAACCTCACCTCAAATAACATGGTTCTTAGGCCTATACAATCAAATAAAGGGGGTCTTCATTTCTCCCTTTTTTATATCTTAGAGGTAATATCTTTCTAACCAAGATTTCAAATCAGAATTAATCAAATTAATATAGTCTAAAAGCAAAAGAGAACGAATATACGATCCCTTTCAAAACAACATCCTGGTTATTATTGGAATTCCAATATAAGCATACACATACCATCTAGAAAATTTAGTCAAAATATTGATCAAAGTATTGATGGCATTATTGATAGAACTATTGAACGTGTGTGGGGATTTTCTACCAAAAGTATTGATGTCAATATATTGAGTCTGTTAACTTGGAAAGCAAATTACAGAGCTATCTGTTTCTTGATACGATTAACAAATTAGGAAATTTACTTTGGTAAGGTAACTGTCCACCTAAAAAAGATCCAAAATAAATCTGAACATAGTTTAATCCGCTAATAATATAACAAAATAATAAAAGCTAACATAATCTAATATGATGCCAAGTCTACACAACAAGTTTCCACTACCATTATCATTTCAGAATATAAACAGTTAATTCAGTGTGTTGCATAAAGATGGGTTTCCTTATTTTTTAGTGTCAAATTAAGCAAACTATTTGATTAATTGGTGTTTTCCATGAATTATCATGTATTCTTAATCATATCATTATGTTCTTATTGCATATAATTAAGAGTTTTAACCAATCATAAATGTCCATGAATGTACTGTCTGGATAAACAAAAAGACTTTTTGATCTTTCTTGATCGGTCACTTATTGAAATTCTGGAGGTAATTCGCTTATTATGGACATGTGAGACAAACTGGTATTTTTCCAAGTCATTAGAACACCTCCTTGCTATTCATTTAAGTATTAGCATTAGGGAATCCACCTTTAATAGAATCTATTAAAGGACATGCAGTCAGTAACAAATAAGTCTATGAGGGAAGACAGTAAAGGTGCTGCAGTATGGTAAGGTGACAATTTTTTAGAATAAAGAAATGCTGTGATAAGGTTAACTGGCATTTTTCATGGTTAGCTGACACTTTTTATCATTATGTCACATTGAATACTTGTATTGTACTTATGGGAAGACAGCAAAAAGGTCTGCAGTCTGGTAAGCTCGTATTCTATCATAAACAGTACCGGTAGTTATAATTAATGACAGGTTAGATAAAACTACCATTTTGAAAAAAGCAATATTTAAATCAAAGTTAACAAAGAAACTAAAAAGCAGAAAAGTCTTTCTTTTCAAAAAGATGTGCAAAATGAATACACACATTATTAGTGTTCTAAATATTTTAAAATTCAACAAAATTAACTCAAAACTACTATTTTTCAAACTGTTCTGTTTATCAATAGAACCATAAATCATCTGGATCTAGCATAAAATCATCATCATTATCACCGAAAAAGGACATGTCGTCTGACTGGTCAAAATAATCATTGTACGAAGAACCCATGGAATATTCATGGTCATCATCATCATCAGAGTCCATACCTGGTCTCGCAACATTGTAGGTGGCCTGACTTCGTGGTGATTTGTAGACACAATGAGGACACTTGACATGACATTGAACTGCTGTTGAAGGGAGTTTTCCTACACAAATCCCACTACTGAATGAAGCATCAGGTAAATCATCCAACTTGTCCCATGTCTTTGTTTCATGACTGTACACCAAGGCACTCTGAGTAGGATCACACTTTTCACCTTCTTTCACTTTTCCACCGAAGATGTAAAACTCGTTGTGATGCATGATAAAAGAGTAATCCGTTCTGGAAGAGTGTTCAGAAGGCAAAGGTATGGCTAAGTCCCGTCTCAAGTCCCAAATTTTTGAAGCGAAGCTGTAAACTTTCGTGTTAACTTTTCCTGGCATGGAAGTCATTATGCAACCATTGTAATCAAAGATGTGTTGCTCAGTATTACATCCACGTGCAATTTTTTTGATCTTCTCTGTATTTATATCATAACAGACACAGTGTGATGTGTTCTGCCTAGGTTTACCAGCGCCTAATTTAGACCCTATTACACAAATATATCTATCTCCTATTGTATTGGCATATACTTGAGTTTTGATGTTCCTTGGGAAGAAATAAGCTTTGACCACAGTTGTTCCTGTTTCTTTAGACACTTCCATCAAAAAGCACTGCCAAGTTCTAGAAGCTGATGCACGTTCAGATTTAGAAGTCATAGCAGATGACAAGAAAAAAAGCTTATTCTGACAATGTATCATCCCATGAATGTTGATATTTTCAGCATTTTCTGGTAAAGCTACTTTTAAGCTTGACCAGATTTTTTCAGCCGTGTTATAAACATAAACTATATTGTTTATTTCCATTGTGTGATTTTTATCATAAATATATAGACAACCATTGTCATCACCAACCATCAATGGCTGCTGAATTGGGCAAGGCATGGGGGCAAATTTAGTCCACCGTTTTTCGTCAACAACATATCCAAATAAGGTATTCAAAGAAAGATAACTAGATTGTTGTAGTAGGTAATGTCCTATGTAGAGTCCCTGACCACTTCCACCACACAACAAAATAACATCTTTAGTACCCTTGCACTCCCTAACAGCACCAGACTCCATTTTCGAAAGAAGATTTGAGATCTTGTCTTTACATTCTTTATGCTTTGAAATAAGAGAATTTTTTTCAACATTGTCAATAAGCACAGATTTAGGAATATTTTGAAGATTTAAAGCTAGAAATAATTCTTTAAAAAACTCAGAACGAAAATCCTCATCCTGTTCTGTCCATTTTGTAATAAATTCCAAAAATGTTTCTTGAGGTACATATGTCAAGGTTTCATCAGTAAGCAACGACATCACAGAGTCCTTGGTAAGAGTCAATGCGTCTTCTCCCTTTAACACTGTAGGTAAATGACCACGAAGGAATTTAAACGCACTATTATACAAGTCCAAATCATACAAGCTGGAGAGCAGAGATAACTGGACACAATTTTCTTCATTAATTTCAGTCATGCAAAGGTAGTCATTACAACATTTTTTAAGGTCTGTTATTTGAAGATATTCCGCAGCCTCCAGTAGCTCTTTGATTTTATCATATGTCACACTGATAGTTCCAAGATATAGAAACTTTAATGCTTCTTTCATTGCCCATGGTGTTCCATAATTCAATCTTATCTTTACTGAAATATATATGAATATCATCAAAATTCAATCATTCAAGTATATGGCTTAAAATCTCAGTAAGCTATAAGAGCCTTGAGCCACTGAGAATGCTCAGTTTCAGTTAATAGAAATGCAAAAAATATGTGTGAGAATCACCTTGAATTGTTGAAAGTAATAAATATTCTACGGTATCTATCTACAAGAACCTGAAACATGTTGATACTCAGAGTTTCATGCTGTGCGATCTTTAGACAACCGACCTATTTCAGCTTATGTCTAAACTGATAAATGCTTATACAGATCATCAATACTGGCATTCAGTATGTATGCTGATAAGGGGTTGAGTATCGATCATAATTAAAATTATAATTTTCTAGAGACGATAATCCAGTATTGTGATTATTATATCCAGTCCTAATGCTGACAGCAAAATGATTGAACTTAGCATTTCTTTTAAAACACAGTCTCACATAATGACCTACCTTCAAAAGACTCCTTCATTCCACTATCATGTAAAGATTGAAAAAATGGACAAGACACTAATATACACCAATGAGCCTTTACTTTCTGAAAAGGAAAATAAGGATCTTCTATTGATACATTTCATTTTTCATTTGTTATCAAGTCTCACTGAAGCTGGAAGATTTAATTTAACTTGGAAAATTGAAGTGAAGTTTTTAAAAGTGGTGATGTCGCACACTAAGCAGACCATTCTCCCTATTTTCGAAACATCTAATGATATAATTTCTCGTTTTAATTACTTCTATACCGTACAATTATTACTCCTGATTAAGTCTCACTTTGGACAGGATTTTTGGTTAACTAAAATTGCTTTGCTTGCCAAATTTTCATTAATAAGCCTTTAAATGTGCCTATGAAGTATGATTTAAAGATCTAAATGGTAGTAGTACATATCAATATTGAAAATGTAATTTTTTTTCAGAAAGATTCACATGTACAAACCTCATCTCCCACAAGTAGTGTGACATCACAAAATTCAGATTCCGAAACAAATTGTTCATAAAGGATATCTTGTATTTTAACTGCATGATTTTCTTTCCTTCCCATTTCACGTTTTGGATGTTTTGGTTCATCCATTTTTGCAAATGTTGAACGTTGAAATTCAGAAGAACCTGCTAAATCTAATAATCGGTTGTTAATTATGGAAAAACAAGACAAAAAATCTTCACTCAGCATATTTCCTACAATTAAAAATTTCATCATAATAATAAATAAATACCTCCTCTTCTACTTCACTATCAGTGAAAACCCTTGGCTTATAAAAGGCAACTAATGAAGACAAAGACCTTGACATTGGCATATATATTAATATACATACATTCTTTTTATTGGATGTCACAAGCCACATAGCCATGAATGAAGGTGAAATAAATACTGAAAGGAAAGTGAAGAAATACCACTACTCAACTACTGACATCGTGGCAGTGTGGTGTGATCGAACAGATTGCTCTAAGATGATCAACGCCTTGCTGGCATATATAATAAAATGATAGTAATATGTCCAGGACCGTGACATTTGCCTGCGTACCATGGTTTAAGTAAGAAACACCAGATATGTCTTTAAGGAAGTTGTTAGATCGAAAAGTTTCCGCGAGTTTAGTTTTCTTCAGTGACCAAGCGGCGTTATGTGGCGCCCTCTACACTTGAGTCTTGAGGCGTTCTTGTCGACCGATTTGATTCGGTTTCGATTTGCTAGTACGATTTGCAGTGGTCTACAAATGCGAATTTTGATTATTATTATTATTGTTAATACGATTGGGACGATTAGAATGATTAGCTAATCAGTTTAGGTAAACTTTCTCAAAAATGTATCGATTAGCTTAACCTACCTTGATCACAAATGCTTAAAATCGAATCGGCCCGCAAAAACGCCTTTGACAGATCAAAAAGTAAGGAAAGATAATCAAAATCTCGAAAAACGAAAGTAGATTCCATGAAGTCAGGTACCGGTATTGCTAAAGAGAAATGAAAATGAAGGTACATTAAAAAACATGTTAAATACAGGAACAGAGAAACTCATGAAGCGAAAACAAGACTTATAGAAATTTCCATGTGTTACTTACATCCTGTATTTTTGGGTTTTTGACAAAACAAAGTAGGGTCACTGCTTGAACCATTTACTCACTAATTTACTGTGAAGAAGGAAGATGATGACAGAGCAACCTGTTCCTGTTTTAGAGGAAAAATATTACCAAAATGTTGTTTTAGGTAATTTGTTTTTGAAATGAACTTAGGGTTAGCTTGTATGCAATAGAATCTGACAAATGAATGTCACTGGCTCAAGTCACAATGTGAAAACTTCGACACAATGTCAATATTTCATTATTTTGTATGAATGCGATTATTAAACCAATAATTTGAAGAATAGATCTTGCTTTGTAACCTGTATGCTACAAAGAATAGACAATTTTTAGATCGTCAAATCCAAATGTTTAATAGATTCCCCAATAAATCTTGTCATGCTGTGTCTCAGGACCTATATTTTTTATTTCAATTTTCAGGAGATTTTTATGTCAGTGCTATAACAGATAAAAAACATACATCCAATATTATAAGGTACCGTAGCTAAGGTCAATTTTAAATTGTCATTTCGACTGGTAGCGTCAGAATTGACCATGATTTTAATTTTCAAACGAGGGAGATGCTGTTTAATTCACATGATGATCATATTTGTAAATGTAAATCACAATTGAAAAGCAAAATCGCTCAAAAAACATGAATTAAGCATCTACATTTTTGTTTCAATCAGATTTTGTCTTTTGGGTGTCATAAGGCTTTCCTCTTGGTGTAATCTTGAAGATTATTATGACTGCATGGATGAGTGACTGTGACAGAAGATTGGGACATACACAACCAATGATAATCACTGAGGCTATATGTCCTATTCACTGACCTTCACGTCTGTATACAGGTAAGAGGGACTGACATGGACAAATGGACAAAATGTCTAATGATCGACAATTGGAAATCGAAAAAGAGCAGGTTATGGCATGGAGCAGAAAAGAAGGAAATAAAACTCCATTCATTTCATTTTTTCCACATCTGTAATTTCAGCTCTTTAACAGAAGAAAGACCATTGAAGGAATTCAGTTACTTGAAGCGAGTCAGAAGTACTTCTAGAGGTAAGATTTTATGAGCTTTGAATAACTACAAAATCACATACATGATGTATACTTGATGATAGAGCTATCTGTATCACTTTTTAAATGGAAATTTTACATCTGTTTCGACATCAATTCATACACAAACATAAAAGCAGTGAAAGTAACAATAGTTTAAGGTTCTTATTAATGTAAGTTTATTACTTAGTTGCTGCTTCAATATCTGGAGGTCTGGAACTTAGGTCAGTGGTTCCCAACCTTTTTTTCAGCCTTCACACTCCTGGAGAAATCACCTGGACCTTTCACACTCCCTGAAATTTGTTTCATCCACATTTCAAGCATGTGATGTGCTCTCTCAATTCAAAATAAATTCTTCTCTTTCACCAGTTGGACACATGGTGAAAACACCTCAGGTTGGGAACCGTTGCCTTAGGTCTTTTGTATTATTGGAAAATTTCATTTAATTGTAGATGGAAACCTTCAAGTACTATTATGTTACAAAGAAGAAATAAGTAGTCACTGTGTAGGTTTAGAGTCAGTAGTAGATACTGATAAACAATACACCCAACATCTTACTAAACCATATTTAGTCAAAGTACCAATTAACCCACCATTGACTAAAAAACAGTACGCAGAATCCTGTTTATACTGGCCATGTTCATTTCATGAAGATAAACAGTAAGATTTGATTTTATCATGTGAGTTCAGTTGGCCAAAGTTGTCATAACAACTAGCCAAGAACAACTAGCCAACGATTGCTTTTAACTGGCAGCACTTGAGAAAATCTGATTAGTCAATTGATCATGTCTATGTGAGCTAAAAAATTCCAGTTGCTGTTTTAATTGGTGGCAATTAGGAAACATTGGGTCTCGTTGGTGACCAGAGTGTTTCCAAATCTAGTTGATCCCAGTTGTTTCCAGGCAGTACATTTGTCAATATGAACTGTATATGTGTCAGATCCAATCAGATGCTGTGATATACCGAAGACTAATAGATAGACTAAAACTGGATTGAAACTGTAATGCTAAAATAGTATGCAAATTCCTTATATTTTACAGAATCACCAAACTTCTCTCAGGAAAATATTTTAATGATAAAGAACTGTCTGTGATAAATGAAAATATGAAGAGAACAGTGGAGATGGCAGAAATAGCCAAAAAGAAAAATCAGGTAGTTTTTATTTTTCTTTTCTCATATCTTGAATAGTCTGCTTATAGTATTCCTGTAATTCCTCTGCATGATACTAAAGAAATTCTGAAATATCTTGAAAGTTAGAATCTCACTATACAGAGATAGTTCAAGATAAAAGTTTTCTTTTTTTTTTAACAAATTTGAACTAATCCGTTTAGCAAAGAAGTTTTGTAAAGGCTATAGCTGTAGCCTACTTACCAAATATACCTTGTTTTGGCTTTTACGAACTACATCTAATACCTTGACATCATTAATAACTTTTCATGTATCACATACGTTTGTAGATTGTAGACTAACAGATAAGCCAATAACAGCCCCCAGCCATATTGTTTACAGTCTTTCTATTAAGGCCTCAATGCATAGTTCGTGATAGCTTGATTTTGTGCAGATGCAGATATGTATAGTAAACCCAATCCTTATGTTTGTTTTATATCACAGAAAACTATAGGAGCAGTAATAACAGATCCTACAAGTAATACTGTTATAGCTAAATCTCATGATTTAAGATTAAAGGATTATCCTCTACAACATGCTGTTATGGTTGGTATTGATTTAGTTGCTCAATCACAAGGTGGGGGAATGTGGAATATTGATGGTAAGTATTATTATGTTAGTATAAGTAATATTTAGAAATATTAAAACAGAACTTAAAAAAACATGCTGTTGTTACTCAGAGTTTCACGCTATGGGATCTTCAGACAGCCTGTGTCGCAATTGAAGTTGGACAACATGTTTTTTAGGTTTTGTTTTATCATTTCTATGTTGGTATTCTATAAATTGCAGTCCAAAAATGTCAGACACATAGACTTTGCATGATATTATATAAAATAAATCTTTTATTGTCAGTTTCAATAACACATGCTAATTTCCATAATTACTTTGTGACTAAGATGATATGAATACAAGGTATGGTGGTTAAGGTCTGTGATATAGGTGGGACTCATATAATATTAGTCATAATTTATAAAGAAAACTTCAGAAAAGATAGCTTGCCAGGCAAGGTAACATACGCCCACTGGCAGCTGTCAATGATAAAACAGTCTGTAGTGACTAAAGTATGAATTTTCTCATATTAAAGAAATTTTAATAGTTTGAATTTATTGATATATATATTTACTGTCAGTTATCTATGCTGAGAAATACCACAAAATTTTTAAAAATCAATATCAATAATCCAAACCATCAAATTATCGCATCAATATACATGATCACACCATGTTTCATTAAAATCAATTGAAAACTGTAGTCTCTCAAAGACCGTTCATTGAAATATCAAATATGACTGTCCAAGATCTCATCAATATAAATGATCACACCAAATTTCATTAAAATCAGTTGAAAACTGTAGTCTCTATTGTTTTCACAAACAAATTTTGACGCGTTTTTCCTAAGTCATGGGCAATAACTCAAAAACCGTTCATCGAAAAATCAGTTAAAAAATATAGTCCACATTTCCATGTGGGCGTATAAAAACTAGAGAGTAAATTGTGCTATAACTGCGGTTTATACTAGTTATACCAAAGCGCTACCTACTGGTTTATCAAAGGAAATTGATAACATTTCACATAGTACTGGGTATTGCCAAATATGTCATATATGATATTGATACATATATTAAGGCTATGATAGGATTCATATCATGATATTAAGGCTATGATAGGATTCATATCACGATATTAAGGCTATAAAATTATACATTTCATGATATCAAGGCTATGATAGGACTCATATCACGATATTAAAGCTATGATAGGATTCATATCACGATATTAAGGCCAAAGCCAGTGGACATGTATTACCTTGTCTGGCAAGCTGTCTTTTACAATTTTATATTAACAATCAATAGATGAAAAAAAAATTATTTTAGTTTTGATTTATTGTGAATATGCTTACAGTTGACGACTTTTCAAAGGAACTTTTCATGCATACAGTTTGATGTAGTTATCTTTGTATACTTTGATTTGTATAATAAAGTATTGATACACAACCATGCAATACTGTACATGTATTATTGTATCTCATATGTATTGATTCATTGTGCCAGCACTAACTTCATATAGAAATATAACCAATTTCAGTGAAAATCAATAATTAGATGCTATAATAAATACATGTAAAATGGTTTCAAAAACCAGTAAAAACCATATTTATGAAATATCGCAATATATACCCATATCACGATATATAAATGCTCGATATGTCGTGATATCCACTTGAACCAATATCGCCTAACCCTAACTCTTAGGCCCTATTGCATTAAATTTGAATATTGAATCTGGGCTCACTGTGCTCAAAGAGTAGACCTACCTGTATATCATCAACAGCTTCTAAAGCCTAGGATATTTAGAGAATTCTCTCAATCACAATCAACCCCCCAGAATGGCATATCTGTCCCTTTAATAAATAACTAGATGAGCCAGACGCCGTGGATTAGAGGTTGGGGACTTACCTCTACATTCTTTATTAGTCAGTTTAATGCCTGTTAACTGAAAATTTCAGTCATGAAATTGTATACTTTGATACATTTTTTTTAATTTTTGATTTTTTTTTTTGTGGTCCGGGAGCACCATGGACATGGTTCAACCAGTCCCAATGGTAGTTAAGCCACTGACAGATTTCTATCATTGTGTTTGATTTTTCTGCAGATCCTGACCAATATCATAACAAGAGTATTAAAGAAGATGGTACAGAAGAGAAGACCACAATAAAAACAGGACCATATTTATGTACAGGTTATGATTTATATGTTACACAGGAGCCTTGTGTCATGTAAGTTTAACACATGAACTTGTGAATTTGTCCTGTCTATAATCTTGAATACCTTAGCTAATCCCATGTCAGAAAACTATCACTCCTGTTGACCAAGTATACTAAATTTTTCTTCATATGAGCACTATCTGAGCATCTTGCGCCTCAACAAAACAGACCCAAACCCTAATCAAAGGGCTAGTGCTTGCAGCATCCCGAATGTGCATGTTATAGCGATCAGTTCATTGTTGGACAGTCTTGGATTCGAAGACCAGTCAAATCGTATTTTTTGGCAGTTCTCATAAAAATTTCTGGTCTATTTTGGATCTTTGGTCAAAATTTGGGGGAACTGCCGTTCAGTAAGAAAAGGGGGTGAAAACTAAAGATAAATTATTGTGAAAAAAGCCCATATTGAAATTTGAGCAGTGACTTTTTATGTACAATTGAATGGGTTATTTTTTCTGATACGCTGTTTGCCTCACATTTTCTATAGCTTGTCACTAAACTTGGTGAAAGTTTCTCATTTTACCAGTCATTATCTTCACAATGCCAAGCTACTATGAAGTTCATCTTATACATTGACTGCAATAGTCACCTTTTTTTGTATCACAGCAATTTGACTGGATTGTACACCAGCAAATACAGCCAATCAGAGCCCTAGACAGAAAGACAGTAAACATTATGACGTTCTGTCGAACGAATTGTGCATTAGTGAATACAGTCAATCAGATGGCAGAAATTTTTAACTTTTGTCTTAGAGGAATTGTGGCTTATTGGAGTCAAGGTATAAGACAAGTTGGTAATAGCTTGTGAAGATGACCAGTCATATGCCAACATGGACTATTTCTATGAGGTATTGTCTGTAATAAGAATTTTTAATATATTTCAGGTGCGCTATGGCATTAGTTCATAGTAGAATAAAACGAGTATTTTATATACACAATGATAAAGAGGGTGCTCTAGGAACTTGCTATAAAGTACATACAGAGAAAGGTTTAAACCATCATTATAGTGTGTTTCAATTTCAGTACAATCCAACTTGAATAAATCAGGATGTCAGACCTGATAAGTCCCTGGCAGCATCAACAGGCTAAACAATAGTCTGCTATTTGTTCCTACAAGTTCGACTAGTTTTGTAAGTGGAGGTCAAAGTGATTATAGTGCTGTGATGGAATGGACAAAGTAAGCACTAGTGCTAGGTATTGCCCATCCACACTGTGATGTTAAACTTAACACTATCTTCAAAGTTTCAATAAATTTTAATTGATAACTTTGTAACTGATATTCGGTATTGTAGTTGATAGGAGTGGTTAACGTTCAATGTCTTATAGATTCTAACAATTTCAATCAAGTCAGTGAAAAAAATTTGTGATACCTCATAATAGGATACACGTACCATGATGTTATACATCGTTTCACAAATATATCGTGCACACACTAGTAAACATGCTTATTGAACAGGAGCCTGAAATGTTAGTTTGTATAGATATTGCTCATTATATAAGAAATGTGCGAAAATTATAAAGAATTTCATCCAGCTTCATTCATCAGCTTAATAACTGTAGTTTCTTTATGCCATATATGGTAGTCTTAATGTCTACAGAAAATGTTTTAGAATGAGACATATAGTCTTAATGTCTACAGAAAATGTTTTAGAATGAGACATATAGGCGTAATTTGTACAGAAATGTTTTAACGTGACAAATATCGCCAGTTCCAATCACTATCTACAGTAAAGTCTTGTTTTGGGTGTGAAAAACATCTCACTAATTGACAATTAACAGTGTTGATTAAATTAGGACCATAATTGAAACTGATACAGTTGTTCATCTGTAAACATTGATGGCTACACTCACATACATCGGCTACTTCATATGATAAAAGTGGACAATTTGGTGGACTGGAACGTTTACCTACCACTGTCTTTATATTCATTTCTGTAATAAAGAAGATAAAAATAGACAAAACTTATTTCTTTGTAATTATTTAAAAGTTTCTAATTCTTGCACAGTGTTTGCTTGCTAAAGATTGGTTCTTTGTCAAACCACGCTTATTGATGTCTCTTATAATAAATATAGTCCATATGGGTCTGAAGATTGTGTGTAGAAATGGACAAGCTAGGGGAATCCGAGGAACTGAAACCAGTTTGAAAAGTCGAAGTTCGGCTGTGAAAAGACACAGAGTTATCTCCCTTCTTGAAAGTGGAGACCGGATAATCAAGTAACCGAAGGCTCTGCCGTTACCTAATTAGCAATCACAAGTTAATTCTGGACTTTTTGAGACAAACTGACATTTCTCTAGAACACCTCTTCATTATTTTCAATTACGAAGGTCTAGGCCTATTAGCTGTCCAATAAACAAACAAATAATTGAATAAATGAAAATATGGTTACCCGTCTTTAAAGGCATAGTATATTCTTATGGTAGGCCCTACCGGTAGGTCTAAATTCTAAATAGGATAAAATTTTTCCGAGCACGTCGGCTCCCCTTTTGGATTTTAAAGGGCACTAGTTGCGATTGGGGCTTCCCCACTGGAAAATTTCTAATCTAGGAAGTCTGAGAATGCATTTAACGAGATTTTTGTACAGTGGTGTACGAATGCCTATTCGTGCATATAGGAATTCAAAACAGAATTTCGCCATAATTAAACCAACTCGACAACGGCTGCTAAATGCGTCACCTATTTTCGTATACAATGTGTTATCTATAAAGTCGAGAAAAACGCGTTGTATGGATTTATCTTTCATAATATTTCATTATAAACAATGACAATTCCTTCAAAGAACAATAATTTAAAAAAAAAGTAGTTACTGACAAAAGTAGAACGTAAGAGTGATTTATTTTTCTAAAAGTCTTTGAAACACACAAGAGTACGGCCCACATTATGTTCCACTGAATTTTTCTGCCGACACGGAATCCGCTAGTTTAGCACGTGACTTCGTTCATTGGACTACATTATTTCTAGCAGACGACACTTGGAATTCCGATTACAGCTTGGGATTATAAGGCAATTCGGACTATAAAAAATTGTGATATTTGGTAATAATTGAAATCCGCAATTTTACCTTGCTTGAAACTACTGGATTCATTCTAATAGCTGACATTGTACAGAAAACCCATGTGTATCAAAACAAGCAAATGCGGAGGTCACGATAGGTCGCACATATAAATTATTAATCATTTCCAAAGATGCACGAAAAATAGGTTAGCACGAAATTAGGTTTCTTGACTGTAGTGAAAGGGGAATAAATTTCTCTCATGGGGACTAAAATATAACGTCATCCATGGAAATTAAAATACCTGGTAATATAATTGCACTATAAAATTCCTTTCTGAGAATAGTTACTATCAAATATTTAGTTGACTATAATCCCATTATTAGAAGTATATAACCCTTTATTCTAAACCTACCAGGTAAGTACTGTGTTGAACAGCCATTGTATATATCACCAAATATCTCTAATTCACATATTGTTAAAGGTTCTGGGTTGTTCAAAACAAACAGCACAAATCTTCCCATACATATTTTCGTACATGTTAAATTTGTCCAGGTGCCAATCGCTGCTGTGTTCGGGTAATGGACACAAATACAGTATTCAGTATCCACCATGTTATATTTGATATGAGGACCAGGATCATATTGCCATACAGAAACAGTAAAATTTATCAATCTACCATCTAAAATTGAACGTGTGGATTATAATTAAGATACGCTCACTTATCGAATATATTTTCAATATAATTTGCAAGAATGGTCGTCGAAATTGCATAACAGTGAGAGCTTACGAATATATGCCCCCTCTGCCCCCCCCCCCCCCCTCCCCCTTTTGGCTCCGCCACATGGTTTCCACTCCTACTTATATGAAATTTAGACAGTTGTGTTCAATTGAAGATGTTATTAGGGCAATTTCTAGATATTTAGATCAGGCGACATCAATCCGAAAAGGTTCTTTATAGTATTATATGAACGTCTCTCATTTTAAATAGTAGATAGAGACATGTTGTTAATCGCTCTTCATTATTTATTTATGAACATGTATTAATGTGCTCTAATGAAATTGTACATATTTGTAAAAATATTTGTATTTTGTTTGTACCTTTGGGCCCTGGCCTTAATACTGCAATAAACTATTACTATTACTATTACTATATTTTCAGTAGACCTGTTGGTGCTCAGATTTGAACTCATCCAACAAATTGTTAATATAAAGCTAACAACAACTGCAGGCCTTATTTTCAATGTATCTATAATATAGGATTTCATCAATATTTTGTCAAATCATGCCCAAATTAAAAATTAACTGAGATCTTGTGAATATAAACTTAAGGTATTCAAACAAAATTTGGTGAAAATCTTTATACCAAGTTTTTCATATAATTTATAGACAGAAACTGTTACTAAAGAGTTCACAAGCAACTTATAAAGTTTTTTTGGAATATCAATGGTAGTAGGCCTAACTACGTCCATATTTGTCGACCCGTACCAATTAATACTGAACTTTCCCAAGATCTTGTTATAATAAACCTACACTACACAATATTTTATAAAAAAAAAAAAATAAGTCAAAACTGAACAACGTGAACAGACGCACAGGGCGACGCTATATTGTCCACATTACCATGCGAGCGTCATACAAGACTACGTATGGTTCTTACATGGAAATAACACACACGAACGTAGTTAACTTTAAAAGACCATCTTCAAGCCTTTAAATGTGATTTGAAATATTATTGCCTTTTTCAAAATTCAGCTTATTACGTCGAGGTAGAGATTCAAAATGATTGTGAACTCTGCGTTCGTGTGTGTTATTTCCAGGTATACGCAATTTGTATGTGCGGGCGTATGAATCACATACAGCACAGCCTCTCAATAATCTAAATACGGCTGTAGAAGAATCGATCGCAGAAAATTTGGTCACAGTAACACAGTCACAAGGTTAATTATATTGTGACCGTTTGACCGATTTTTTCGTCAATGCCGTCTACAACTCGAAAATTCACAATTGCTGCATATTATTATGGATTGCGAATCAAAATTTTAATTGATTCGTCAAAACGGAGATTCGGTGCGCTTTTCACAATTAGCTAAATACAAGTTAATTATGGACTGGTATTTTTTTTTATCCTTTAGAACACCTCTACTTTCGATTGATATAAATATTAACCGCCCAATAATGTACATTTATATATGAATAATGAAAATAAGGTTACCCATCCCCAAGACAGCTATACTTGTAATTTCATATTCAGCTTCTAAGTCAACCAACAACCAATTAGGCGTGTCTGTTGGAGCATCTGTATGAGAGCAGCCAAGGTTATAGGTGCTGAGATTTCCATCGACCGCTTTGGAGGAAAATCGTCCATTACCATATTCACTAGTGTGTCTAGTTGGTTTGTTTAATGCAAGATTCTCTAATCCAGAAACTATAAAAAAAAAGAGAAAATTATTTTCAACAAGTTAAATGGACGTATGTTGGCTACAACTTTGTTTACAACATCAGGAAATTGTAAATGAGCGTACACAACTTTATTTACAACATAAACTAATTGTTGATAATTGTAAATTAGCTTACGAATATATTAACAATATCGAGTAATGAGCGTATACAAATTTATTTACAACATACGAAAATTGTAAATGAGCGCTTGACTGTTATTACAAGATCACGTAACTTTAATTGAGCGTATACAACTTTATTTACAAAATGAGTGCATACAAGTTTAATTGTAAATGAGCACACGACTATATTTACAAGATCGGGTAATTGTTAATGAGCCTATACAACTATATTTACAACATAAGATAATTGGAAATGAGCGTACGACCATATTTACAAGATAATTTGTAATTTATTGTAAACAAACTTTCTTGAGAACAGCAAGATTGAGCGGGAAAATCGTTCCTGTCACTCCTCATTTCGCCACACGGCAGTAAAGTACAAGAACGATGGATACCAAAATGGCAGCAATTTTAAACAATAACAGAATTTGCCATTGTCTGTATTTTATTAAATGAAAAATTTAAAAATTGTTTTTATAATAC